TACATAATGTTGCTTCCTTTTCCTACTTATTTTCTACAATTGCCAAGTTATGCCATATAACATCTTTTTTTATTGTTATCTTTGATCAGTCAAGTTCGCTTTCAAAGTTCAAGTTCAAAATTCACTAACCTTCACCACCACCTTCATCCCATCGTCCGTCAGATGCCAGGTTGATTTTCTCTTACTTGCTCTGTAGGGGCAGTTGCTTTGCCTGATCATTATCCATTGGTTAGCATGTCATAGTGTTGATAGGACGCACATACACCACACCCCCTGCAAATAAATAAATGCAATAAAATATATTTACAACAACAATTATTAAATAATAATAATAATATAATTACTACTACTAATATTAATAATAATGTGTATCCTTGTTAATATTGTTGTTGTTTTTATTGCTATTATTGCTGTTGTTTATTATAAAACAGTTACTGAAAACACATTGATTATTAGGTATTTATACTGTACCATAGAATCTCAGAAAATGTACATAGCTTTTCCCCGGTGATGACTTTTATTATGACAAGCAACCCTCTTCCCGAACCGGCCCAAACAGACCCGAAACGACGCTGTTAGCCACTGATCAATGTAACAACTATAAGGTTTATAATATCGGTTCAATTCGTAGTATTGTGTTAGGAATTTTACTGTTATCAAGGTCGGAACATTCAGGATACAGACGTGTTTATGCAGTGAGGTATTATCTTAATCAGTCCTCGTTTGCTCTGTTTGATCGGATCTTCCAGAAGGCGGGGAGCAGTGATGGTAAGTCTGCTATTATGATCTGATAGCATCTCAGCAGCATCTTGAGCAGTCAAAATAAAACAAAAATAAATTCTCTAAAAACAATTGTTGCAAATTAAACAACGCATTATTTAACTAATTGTATTGTAAACAGGAGTAAATATTAATAGGTTAATAGCTAACGTAATCGAATTTGTTGTTAACAGGTGTGCTATCATGCTAGTATGTATTGTGACTTACTGATTTTGAACTGTGGTCAAAACATGTAAAAAGTACTTTTTGTGTCAAATGAATATCTAATCTTTATTTTTTATTATTTTTGTTTTTGTTATTATTTTATGTTTCTAATTTCCAGTGTGGGGTGCCATCGTCTTTGAATCTGTTGATATTTCCATTAAGTGTGGCTTGTTATAGCTCATGTATTTGTAAATCATAGGACAGCGAGATGTCTGATATAGACGAGACTCCAGCAATGGACAGAGCTGTAGTAGATGCAGAGAATACTCCTCTCTACTGTATTTGTCGAAAACCAGACATAAACTGCTTCATGATGTAAGACAAATCTCTCCAACCATGTTCTCACTGAAAGTATGACAGTGTATGTGTCCAAACAGAGTGCTTAATTTTTCATCAAATCCTTTTCCCATAGTGGTTGTGACAACTGCAATGAGTGGTTCCATGGTCACTGTATAAATGTGACAGAGAAGATGGCCAAAGCGATCAGGGAGTGGTACTGCCAACAGTGTCAGGGTCAGTGACTAAAGACTTTCACCACAAGATATTTAAACATGCACTTGAACATAATACGTTGTGTTAGAATATGTGTTAATTCTTTCTAAAATATTCTTCATCTCTTAGAATTGGATCCATCTCTTTCGATACGCTATCGGAAAAAGAACCGTGATAAAGACGTCGAGCCAGAGAGAGTTGAAAAACGATCCAGCACTCCAGAGTACAAGATCGATAAGCGTCGAGGATCTAAAGTTAGTGTTTCTCAAGTTTACCATCCAAGTTTGCCTTTTATGATGTCACTTTCTCTGTTGCATTATGGGTGGGTAATTTGACCAAAATTATTTTTGGAATTATGCACTGAATTAAATACTTCAAAAATTATATTTAATCTCATTTGATTATTTAGATTTTTGACTATTATGGAACTTGATTTATTTTAAAACAAAATTCAGACATGAAAATTAATAATAACCCTCAGAGTAAAACATACTGCAAGAGACTCCAAGTTTTATGTCCAGAACATTCCAGAGATCCAAAGGTGAGAGTTTAGTGATGGTCTCACAGTATTTCTGCTCAAACTAAGGGTACGTTTACACAACAATAATTGTACTTACAATGGAATTTTTTTCTTTGCATTTTGGAAAAGTTTCATGTACAGACGACAACATTCCCAACACTGCACATTTTGCATGTCTCCTTTCTCTGACGCACCAGTTTCAGGTCTTGGAGTCTCTACTAATGAGCTGATGACCTGAATCAGGTGTGATTGATTAAGGAGACATGCAAAATGTGCAGTGTTGGGGTGCCTCCAGGACCAGGGTTGGGAACCACTGGTCTAAACAACCCCTGTTCACATGGATCCGCAAAATACTAAAGATGCTGTAGTATTCATGCTAGGCCAGCAGTTGGCAATGCTACTTTTTACACAGAAACAATAATGTATTGTTTTCAGAAACTTTGCATTTTTAAGCTCCCAAAACTCCATTGTCATGTAAATGAATGGTCAAAATGCATATAACGTTTCCGTTTTTATTTGAAAACGGTGTTGTGTAAACACCTAAACCAGGCTTTTTCACACCTGTTTGTCTCCCTCATCTAACACACCTGATTCAACTCATCAGCTCATTAGTGGAAGACTGCAAGACCTGAACTGGGTGTGTCCGATAAGGGGGGCGTACAAAATATACAGTGCTGGGGGTCTCCAAGAAGATAGGCTTGAAAAACCCCTGAACGAAACTAACCGCATCTTCAGACATCTCGTCATAACAGGATTTGTGTTCAGTAAATCACTTCTCTGTTTTTCTCTTCTCAGGTCCCAGCAGATGAGGTGTGTGGATGTCCACTAGTGTGTAATGTATTTGAGCCGACTGGAGAGTATTGCAGGGTCTCGAAACGTAAGTGCAACAAGCATTACTGCTGGGAGAAGCTCAGACGGGCGGAGGTGGACCTGGAGCGTGTCAGAGTGGTCAGTCAAGTTCTTCCAAACTTATTTTCATTGTAGTCTTAATTTAGTTTCTTATAACTCATACTTTCCCCTCCAAACAGTGGTACAAGCTGGATGAGCTGTTTGAACAAGAACGCAATGTGAGGACGGCCATGACCAACAGAGCAGGACTATTGGCCCTGATGCTCCACCAGACCATCCAGCATGACCCTCTGACCACTGACCTCCGCAGCAACAAAGACAGATAGCCATGCCAACAATCTGTGCTCAAAAATGATTTCTTTATATTTGTATACTTTTCATATTGTATATTTGTCACTATTTGGATGATGTCATTCATATTAAAACTCTCTTCATGTGTCTCCTTCAGTCTGCATTGATTCATTTTACTTGTGCTCAATTAGTTAATTATGGAATTGTAATTTTTGTTGTGATCCTCAGATTTCTTGCTTTATTTTTTAGTTATTTTATCTATACTATATTGATATGATCAAGTATGCTTACAAGGAATTTGTCTTGGTAAAACAAGCTTCCAGAACAGAGACAAAATAACAATTAGACATAAAAATACACAATTTAAATGTTTTTTTTTTTGTTTGTTTTTTAAGTTTAATGATAAGTAAAGCCTACTCTGTAGTTAACATCAATGTTTATAAAAGGCCTATTTATTACGTCTAGGGGTTTATAGCAGTTTTTCAGTATATCATATATACATTGGGATGTAGTCTGAAATTTAATAATGATGAATACATTTTATTATTAAATACCATTTATGAAAAGCAACATAAAAAACGACGAAATTCAGAGATTCATGTTACTTTCTCAACTTTTGACTCATGTTTACGCTGATAAAGTAATTTGTAATCAGGAAAAAAAATCTATCGTGCTATTTTGTTAAATCTCTTAAGGTCTGTCGTCTAGCAGTACATCAAAGACGTAAATGTTACATCAAGCAGCGCAGCATCAGTCTAGCTTTTTGAGACGTGAGCAGGGAACTTTATTTATTCAAAATACTCGAGTCACGTGTTTCCGGGTTACAACAGCACTTCCGGTCCTTCTCCTGTTTCAGTATTTAAAATATATCAATGTGAGGATTGTTGAAGGGTTTACAGGTAGGTTTTTAGGAATGGCGGGATCGTATTTATGATTTTAGTTTAACATGACCGTTAAAAACAGCAATCAGTCCAGGTAAATCTCAATAATTGTTTTATTTACTATCATTTCGCGTTTGCTAATATTTTAGCTACCACGCTAAGTATTGGCGCTAATACGTGTAAGGCTGTGTCTCAAAACCTAGTTTGCTGACTACCTAGACAGCATTTTCCGCATCAAAAGTCGTGGTTTAAAAGATAAAGCGTTTGGTATTTACACGAAGAGCAACAATAGGCAGTCAGCTGACTGTTGGATTCAGATGCAGGTGTCTGAGCTGAAGTCTGAGCTGAATGCATAACATATTGCAAAGAGATTATTCAGATAGTTCAACGTTATTAAAATGAAGGAGCTTCAGATGGACAAAAAGTAGATGATTTACAGTGCTGGAAGGTAGAAGAACTGAACAAGTATTGTTTGCTGCTTAAAACACTGTATCTGGGTGTTGCCCCAATAATGTGTGTTTCCTTATTGCAGCTGTCATAAGAAGAACAGGGAGGCTATACTAACATGGAAACCGAGGAAGTAGCGGCTGAGGCACCTGCAGAACCAACAACCGAAGTCATAGATGCAAATACAGAGGAAAGCAAAGAGCCCACAGAAAGCACAGACATTCAGAATCATGTCACAGATGAAAACGAAGAGGGAGCTGTAACTGAGAAGGAGGGTGAGTCTTCCAAAGACGTCGACAAACCACCTTGTGACTGGTTGGAGCCACTCGAAGAAGACTGTGATGATGTCGATTCCCCGAGCGTTGATGGAGAAGTAGAGAGCCTTGTGGGGAGCGAATGGAGCGGCAGTGTGGTTAGTGTTAGGAAAAGCACTGGAGAGAGAGGTGGCAGAGGTGTTGGGTATGTACATGACCTGGATTCTAATAATTAAACACCTCACATCAAACTTTAAGTGATGAGTTATAGAAAATGAATAAGTTTTCTCTTATGCACTTCACTATTTTTTAAACATATTTTTGTATGTTTTGCTTTTTCTTCTAGGAGACCGAGGAGGAGAGCACAATGCGAGGTAGATGATGACTGGGAAGATTGGCCATCATTAGGGCAAGGATGGAAACGCAAACAGGTTTTTCGTCGGTCAGGCACCAGTGAAGGACGTAGTGATACATACTATATGAGGTATTGTAAAAACGACTCAATTAAAGGAATAGTTAGAAATATAAAAAAAATGTACTCACTCTCATAACATTCAAGATGTAGATAATTTGTTTTTTCTTTCATCTGTACAGATTTAGACAAATTTAGCATTACAGCACTTGCTCACTAATAGATCTTCTGCAGTGAATGGGTGCCATCAGAATGAGAGTCCAAACAGCTGATAAAAACATCACAACATTCCACAAGTAATCCCCACAATTCCAGTTTATCGATTAATGTCTTCTTGTGAAGTTAAAAGCAAATGCATGTTTGTAAGGCATTTTAATGTTAAACCCTTGCTTGTGGCCAAAATGTGAGTCTGTAATAACACTTCCTCCAGTGAAAAAGTCTATCTGCTTTTGTCCTCTCACATCAAAATATTGAAAATATATATGTTTAGAGCTGTTTTGGACAGTTTTTGCTTGTAAATGGTGCTTGATCTGTGCATATTTCTCTCCTGATTCTAACGGGATGTGTTTTTCACTGGAAAAAGCAATATTATGGATCGAGGACTCATATTTTAGCCAGAAGCAATGGTTTGAAGTTAAAAACATCTCAATGAATTTATCACTAACATGCAGCTTTTCACTTCACAAGACGTTAATTGATATAATCGTGTGGATTATTGTGATGTTTTTATCAGCTGTTTGGACTGTGGCATCCATTCACTGCAGAGCATCCATTGGTGAGTAAATGATATAATGCTAAAGCATTACTGTGTGGCACGTTCATTTTGCATCACCCATTAATTTTTTTATTATTTTTTCCTTTCAGTCCAAGAGGTCATAAAGTAAGAAGTAGGGTTGAGCTTGTGAAATATATAAGTCAATCTGTGGACCTCACAAATTTTGATTTTAAAACGGGCCAGTTTCTTGGCGAAGAGCCTCGAAGAAGAAAGGTGAGATGTTGTTCAGCATGCTCTCTTCATTTTTTTGGCTTCAATTTATTCACATATTTCCCACTAATATCTACATTCTGGTATCCATAGAGAAGGAAATTGGATTCTCCCCAGGCACACGTTTCTGTACCCAGTTTTCCAAATGAATTGGCAGATACAGGTGGTGCAGCTGGCAATCCAGGATCTTCAACTAGTCTCAGCTATGGTACAGCTCCGAAGTTGAGCTCATATTCAATCCATAAGGGTGCCAATACAGTGACCACTCCAAAATGCAATACCTATACTAGTCCTGAGACAAATACCGCTTTATCAAGTGCCACTGCACAACTTACTATTGATCTGACTGAAGATTCTGCGAATCCAACTCCTCCTCCTTTGGGCGGTTCAGTGTCTGTGGCCCCAGATAGGCCCATCAATGGTGCCAGTGGAAATCCACAAAAATTTTTTGGGTAGACAATGCTTCTTTTTCTTACACTATAGCCTAAATGTCAAAAACAGCGGTGTTAATATCTTTCTTCACTCTGTTCTTTTTGTTTGTACTCAGTGTCTGCCTAAGATGTCATAAAACCTATACTTTTGAAGAGGGACAAACTATGTGCCAGAATTGCAGGCTAAAGGGTAACACATGTAAGTCAAAATGTATTCATTTATTTTCCAGTTTGTGAGTGCAGGCAAGTAAGCAGCAATAGTGTATTTCAGCTAACGCTATTATTATTATTGTTATTTTTTTCTGTTGGTTTAGCAATAGTAAGACGAAGACAACCCTACAAAAAGGTATGTTTTCATTTTTTTTGGCTTTATGTAATGTGTTGCCTTACAAATAAAAACACATTTATTTGTATTTTTTTTTTCTTAGTGGGTTCCATGTGGCCGATGCCGGGCTTGCCAAAATACAGTGGACTGTGGAAAATGTGTTAGTTGCAGAAATGCTCGGCTACGCCTACGACTCAATATCCACTCTCGTAAAGTCATTAAGTGTCGCAAACGGAAGTGTTTGCGCCCCATCCATAAAGACAGGGCTGTAAAGGTAATTCTTTTTTTTTCAGTCAGTAGATGATATTCTATGTTATGTAAGGACATTTGTGTAAGAATAAGAATATAGTTAAACTGTTGCATTATACTAAATAATAAGTGGCCTTGGAAAGTGTTTGGACCCTTGCCCACACTTGCAATGTCAAACCAAGCGCATTTAGGTTGTTTTTATGATCTGTTCTGTTTGATGGCTTTGTCAGAACCTCAGTTTTGTACTGCCCCCACTGATGTCTTTTTACACTGTACTTTTGTTTCCACGTGGCATTTGTGTCATGAATTAAATGCACAATGAAATCCACACATTTTCATGAGTTACTTAATTGTTTAAAAGTTTGGGGTTGGTAAGTGTTTTTTTTTTGTTTTTTTTTTGCAAGTTTTTTATGCTCACCGAGACTACATTTATTTGATTGAAAATACAGTAAAAACAGTAATATTGTTAAATATTATTATAATTGAATAATTAAACAGTTTTCTACATTAATATATTTTAAGAAGCAATTTATTCCCGTAATGGCAAAGCTGAATTTTCAGCAGCCATTACTCCTGCTGTTACATGTTCTTCAGAAATAATTTGAATATGCTGATTTGTTCCTCCGGTAATTATTATTATGTTGAAAACATTTTTGTGGAAGCAATGACACTTTTTTTAGGATTCCTTGATAAATAAAAAGTTAAAAAGTACAGCATTTATTTGAAGTAGAAATCTTTTGTAACAATATAAATGTCTTCACTGAATAAAATGCTAATTTCTTTAAAAAAAAAAAAAAAGCAAAAAATCTTACAGCCCTCAAACTTCTGAACAGTAACTTTCTGAGTTACTCTTTGTGTCTAATGATCATATAATCTTTACTCACCTTTATCTAATCCACAGGCATCAGAGTGGCAGTTTCCAAACATGGCCAGATCACTAAGCACAGCTTCAAATTTTTCACAAGTGAGAATAAAATGCTTTGAACTACACTGTTCTTTTCACACGGTGCTTCATTATGCTTGTAAAAAAAGTTTTAATCATTCAGTCTCCCGCTTCTTTTATTTTTCAGCCCTCAGTCTCAGATGATTTTGAGGAATCACAGGTAAAAGCTTTTAAATAATCTCTCAAACTAATCTGAGGGATTCCTGTAGAACAACTATATCT